GAAACAGGGATAGAAAAGGGCACCATCTTTTCCCGGCCTGTATTTCGCTGCCAGTGAACAACCACCTCAGATCCAGCAGGGGACAAAACAGGGCGGCCGGGCTGCAGGAACGCTGAGAAAACGGCCCTTCGGCGGTGGCTCCGGTTCCAGATTGCTCTGCATTCAATCCAAGGCTTAGCATCCAGAAAACACACAGAGAGAGACACAGAGAGGCGTAAAATGGGTTCTTCTTAGTTCTCCACCAGCCCTTGGATCCCACCTCATGACTCACGGATCCATAACCTCGTTCCTCATCTTTAGCCAGTGCCGCACGCTCGTCCTGCCGGTGGCAAAGGAAGCCTTTGTTCATTCTGCTGGTTGCTGAAAATACACAGACTTCTGTCCCAGGAAGATGCGAGGGAGGGACCTGGGGGTTCCTCGTATCTGTGACTTCCAAGAAATGCTTCCGTCTGACCCGACATCACTGCCCCCCCGGACTCTCGGGTGCTAACCATGTCTAGCAACGCGCAGGTCCCCCATTTCTCAAGTCTTGGTTAAACTGGCTGACAAATCTGAGGATAAAGAACGCTTTTGAAATGATATTGATCAAGCAGAAGTTGAGTTCATGCAAGCGGCACTTGGTTAGGTGGGCTGCTGTCCAATCTAGTGTGGGATAGGTTTCTATACCTCTACGCCTTTGCAGCTTAGCTTCAGATCTGCAGCTATGGCACCTCATGGGCCTTCACAAGGATGCCTCTGCCAGACAAAGGACAGGAGTCAGGTCCCCTGGGAGGAAAGGCTAGGGGTGTGAATCAAAGACCCTCCGTCCCTCCCATGTGGACATAAAAAAGGGAAGTTCTCCAACTGTATATCATGGCCCCGTGGCTGCTTTTCTCCATAAAATGCAAAGCGGGATGTACAGTAAGTGTGCCGCTTATATCCCGCCCCACAGTGCTTAAAGCACTCTGTGTCCGTATCGGTCTTCAAAAAGACTGCCAGGAGGACCCAGGCCTTTCACGATCCGTAGCAGCTCAGGATGGCAAAGCACTGCCCACTTCAGTGAGCAAGAGGGCCGGATCTCTAAGAAGTCCTTGTTCAACCCCGCCTCCCGCCTCCTTCAACAGACCCATATTTAGAAGGCTGAACAAAGAGGTCTATTCCAGAGCCAGAGCCGAACTGAGTGTCAATGGGCATCCTGCGTGGTGTCAAGTAAGAAGACGCTGCTGCTCTACAAGAAGCCAGCCTGAGTTCCCTTGGTCTTATAGGCCTAGTTTCATGGCCTCCTGCAGCAAAAGATCAACCAAGAGAGGCAACTTCGTGGCTGCTTCACAGGCAGCTGTCAGAGGTGAGAGGCTAACATGCACATCGCTCTCGTCCAGGAGGGTTTCTGCCTGGGAAAGGAAGTCCCCTGCAGACCTGCTTGTCCGCCCTGGCCCAACTGGCCCCTTCGGTGGGTGGGTGGGCCGAGTTCAGAGTCTGAGACAGGCTGTCCCTGGCCGAGAGGATGCCCCAGGGCACACAGCCCTCCCAGCTGCCTGCACAAAGGCAAGGGGCTCCAGGGGCTCCTGATCCTTTCAATCCAGGGGGACCTCAAGGCCAGTCTCTAGACAAGTACGTAGTAAATGAACAGGAGGCCTGTAGCCTTCATGCTCCAACGAACATAAGATTTGCCAGTCATTGGGGTGACTCTAAGGAAGTCAAAGCTGGTTGCATTCAAATGAATCTTAATCTGGAACTAACTTTTAAGGTGTGACAGTGACTTTAGAGGACATTTACGAGGCAACTGAAAACACAGCAAGTCTACAGGCCTTTTGACTTTCCACTTTAAATTTAAGCATTTCTATTTCAAGACTCCCTTAGAAAGCTTATCTCAAAAATGAAACAAATGAACAAACAAAAAAACTTTTAAGCTTTTAAAATATGTTTGAACCTGAGATTCTCAGACTCCCCAAAGCCACCCGGTCCCTCCTCCAGGGCCCTGGAATCTCCATGAGAGGAGCTGCGGAGGACGAACTTGACAACTCACACTTTCCATCTATTCCATGGTCTGTGGCTCGGCTTTGGAAACCATTTCCTGTAGTTGCTCTGAAATCCTCTTTGGAAGTGACTAAAATCAAACAAGGATCCAGGCAGTGGGAACCCCTACCCCACAGGTTCTTCCTAGAGAAATACTCAAGATCCTCTTGTGCCTGTTTACATCTGCAGACGTTGTCCAGAGATTTGCCATGAGCTCTGTGGCACAACAGAGTGAAAACACAAGATGTACTCATGGGGCAACCACCAGATGTTACTAGATCAGCAGACGGTGGAAAGGGAGAAAGCTAAGAACTGGCAGGTTCCCGCTCCAACGTCCCTTTTCCCATTCATTGGTTCAAAACCATGTTTCTATGGCTGCTGGGCATTTTTGCTAACATTCTAAAGCGAGCACAATTTGCAGGGGGCATCATGTCATAAATGCCAATTGCAACAAACAAAACTTGGGAAGAGAGGAAGAAAGTTACACAAACATTAAAAAAAAAATAACAATCATCATAGAACGTCAGAGCTGGAAGGGTCATCAAGTCCAGTTCATGCCAAGGAGGCACCGTGGGGAATTGAATGCCCAGCCTCTGGCTCTACAGCCACAACTCTGGAACCTGTATGAGAATCGCTTTATGTTGTGCATCAAATAAAAATCTAATCCCAACCGTAGCAGAGTGATCAATGCACAATCGTCTTCAGCCTACACTGTTGAAAGACCAAAGATCACCCACAACTACCTCAGCTTAGACAGAGTTGTATGTGAAATCTGTGATGGACTCATTCATTAGTCAAAAATAGCCGTGTGTGTGTGTGTGTGTGTCTCTCTCTCTCTCTCTCTCTCTCTCTCTTCTGGCAACTTAAAGAACAACACATTTTATTTGGCATGAGCTTCCAAGGTAAAAATTCTCTCTCTAACCGAAAGCTCCCTGTGTTTCCAGCTGGGCAAAAAGTACTGGATGAAGGTTGGCAGCACCATCAAACTTGTAAAGTGCTGGATAGCTCAGTGATTTAGGCTTCTGGCTGCAGAACCAGAGGTTGGGAGTTCGATTCCCCCGCTTGTGCCTCCTTGACAGGGGCTGGACTTGATGATCCATAAGGTCCCTTCCAGCTCTGCAGTTCTACGACAACGATGATTAAAATATGTTGGATAACTGGAAAGTCTGACTCTGTTCCAGCAAGTTTTCAATAAACATAAACACTCTTCTTAGATGTGGAGGAGAGAGGTGCCCAAGGTGATATTTTCCCCGCTAGAGAATGTTGACATCCAGTGTCACAACGGTCACTTAAACCAGACATTTGCCCCCTTCCAGCTTGCAAGAGATGCTACAAGAAGAATCAACCTCTTGGGCCAAGCCACGATTCTCGAGCCCTGAACACTTCATCCAACACCCAGGGCTACCAGGCAAAGAGAGGGGCTTAGTTTCCAATGTTTCATTAGTCCCTTTTGTTGAAAGGTAATTTAAAATGGTGCCCAAATAAATTGGCTAGAAGTTAAATACAAAACAAAAAATACACAAAGGAAATACATAGTCACATAACAAAGGAGCAGGCATACACGTCTAACTAGTGAGAACTCTTCTGTGGTTACACAAACACAAATAGCAATATTCAGTTCTAATTCACATGCTGCTCCCCACCCCAAAAAAGGCCAAGAACACCTGATACTCTTAAATTACTGTCAAGACCCTGATGTTTACTTGTTCAAAATTTACTTCAATAAACTACTCCACTGAGCGAAAACACGGAGCCATACAAAGTATGAATTCAGAATGCAATAGTGTAATTCTAGCAGAGATCTAGGCTTAAGTTATAGGTTGGGATTAATAAGGGTCTTATTTAATAGTCAAACTACAGAACAGAATGTCACCATCTGCGAATGAGAGAGTTAGTCTCCTTGCAAGAAGCTACATTTCACAATCATTCTGATGCATCCCTTCTTCTCACTTGTATCCCCTTCCCTATTGTTCAGAGGCAACAACCCAAAATTGTTTTCAAAAACTGTTTGTCACCGGTGAGCGCTGAAACGGCTGCTGCCTGGAAACCCTCCGTGTGTTAATATTTTCACACCCAGACAAAAGGAGTGGCAGCCAAGGGCTAACGCTGAAGACGAGGGAGAGAACAACACAGAGCCGGGTTCACAAACCACTTAGGAACACTGAAGCGTTCGGAAGAACCTCCTTCTGGCTACACACCTTCTCTGTGCGGCCCTTTGTCTCCAGAGTGGACCATCCTGGCCTCGCGATGGAAAAGCCGTGGCCTGCCTTCCTGGCAGCCAGCCCGCCCAAGGGGCTAGAGCCTGGGGGCCCCGGGGATGCCGACGCCTGCCGTGGCCGGCCCCAAAAGGTTCCGCTTGGGGGACATTTCCAGCCTTTCCGTGCAAGACATTCGCTCCCCACAAAGGAGGCAGAGTCAGGGCGCACATAGCAACAGAGCCCGCCGCTGATTGGACAGGCGGCAGGCGGCAGCCCTTCGCGGCTCACGAGCTCTACGACAGTTTCCTGCCTCTTTGGCAGCCGGATCGTGTTTTCTTTTCTCCTCTTGTGAACCCAGCTGTGTTTGGGCAATCTGAGAGGACAGGAAAGCAGAACAACAAGTAGCAGGACACACTAAATGTGGCACCAAGTGTGCTATTATTACTTCAGCTCAGCCTGAGGGGGAGGGAAAAAAGGCATATAAACAGCAGCTTAAAAAAAAAGAAAGAAAGAAATCAAACTCAAATATACCCCGTGCTTACCAATGAGAAACCCAAGGGAAAAAAACATTTGTGTTGAATGGCTGTTTGGCTTGCAGTGTGTGTCACTTAACAGAGCTCTTCTGCAAATATATATATATTTCTGTTGCTCCATAGACATAAAACCAACATATTTTAGACTTAGCAGAGTGAAAGAACAGGCACTTTTCAGAGAAACAGGGTTTCTCAAAGGGGAGAAATTTTTTCTGAGGACAAGGGCAAAAGGGGAGAAGTTAATCCCATCGCTGTCTCCTCCAAGCATGCAGACAAGCCAATTAAGAAAGCTGTCCGTAGAGCAGCTGCTGCAAAACTAAACCATGGCAGGGCAGGTCCCCGATTTAAATGGGAACAGGCGGTTCATCCCTACGCAAAGAGCCCCCGAGCCCCAGCGAGGAGCACCCCCAGCGTCAGATTCCAGCACGCCCAGGCTGGGCTACCTTTTCTTCTCCCTCCGATTTGGCTGCCCAAACATAACAGTTGCTGCT